GGGATTGGAATGAAAACTGACCTTTTCCAGTCCTGTGGCCACTGCTGAGTTTTCCAAATTTGCTGGCATATTGAGTGCAGCACTTTCACAGCATCATCTTTCAGGATTTGAAATAACTCAACTGGAATTCCATAACATCCACTAGCTTTGTTCGTAGTGATGCTTTCTAAGGCCCACTTACAGCTTAGCTGTTTTCTGTATTCCTTATCTTGGAATGTTTTTTCAAATGTGCATAACAAAGTCTGTAAGACATGAAGACATTGGGATTTACTTTTACCTGAAGTATTACCATGTTTGCAGTATTTCTTAGGGCATTTTTTAGGGTGTATATTGTCTTTAATATGAACTGTATAGAAAGTAAAGCTAGATTATCAACTATCAAATAATGTCATTGCTACACTCACTAACTTTTATGGCAATATCTGTTTCTTAACATCTGCTGCAAGGTATATGTTCTCACATCCTTACATGTGAAAGATATCATATGCAGGAAATGGTAATCATTTGAAATATGGTAATGTTTGGCAAGGGTAATTAGCATAGTGAAATATTTTCACATACAAATAAGCAGAATGTCTTAGCATGGCACACACGAATAGAAGATATATCCTTATATTTGTAAAAGATCTAGTGAGTAGGATAGATTTTGGGATCTTCATAAGGTAGTTTACTCTGTATTATGTAATATTGCTAGCTGGTCATGGTGACAAGAAAGATATTTCAGCATTGAGTTGATAGTGGAACTTTTCAGCAAACACAGATCACTACAGGAGAAACTGACTATAGGCATTCATGAGTCCATTTTGTTCCTGATGAGTTTTTAAAACAAAATATTAATAATAATTTAAAGGCAGCAAAATGTGCATATTCACAATAAAAGGATATTTTCCTCAATGGCAATAGATTTTTAAACGTCTCCTGTAATATTAAGAAACGTAAATTATTAGTGATCAAAAATGTGAAAATACAGTGATCTCATTTGACCTGTGTATATATATTAAACCCTATGCTAGAAAACTAGAGAGTGTACATTTTAGAGCAGAGATGAAACAATTAAAATATTCACCACTGTCAAATTTAGAGAGATTGTATTCCAGAGGATTATTACAATGGAGAGAGGGCTCCTACCAGAAAATCTACAAAATCTCAACCATCAGAAAAGAACTTTTCATTTATACTGAGGACTAAGTAAGTATAGAGGAAAAAATGCCATGTGAGGAATGAATGAATAGGTGATCTGACTCACAGTTGATCAGGGAATGTTTTATGGTCAGGTCACCTACTCTTGGGAGCCGATGGTGTGGCAACAGGGTTCTTTCTAAATTGCAGTGGTCAAGAATGGGCAAAAATTCGGGGCCCTTGGAAGAGGAGAAAAACGTGAGTAAATTTTGATTAGATCATATTAACAGGCATTGTTACCAGTGATCAAAGCGGACAAAGAATTCAGTACTCCTTGATAAGGCAAAACGGTGGAAATTGGGAGGGTCTGTATCTGGATGGTTTCAAAGTAAACAAAGGGGCCAAGAGAAATCTACTGAAACTAATAGGGAAGTGTGTTTCTTTAGTAAGTAACATTTAAAAGGGGAAAGGAGTCCTACCTTTGCCATTTTCCAGAGTTATACTGAAGTCTAGTGTTGTTACTATATAATGACACCTTTGAGTTATAAGAAAAATTCAAAAGGTAATAACAAGGTAATTTTTTTTTTTTTAAATTTTTATTAGTTGGAGGCTAATTACTTTACATCATTACAGTAGTTTTTGTTATACATTGACATGAATCAGCCATGGATTTACATGTACTCCCCATCCCAGTCCCCCCTCCCACCTCCCTCTCCACCCGATCCCTCTGGGTCTTCCCAGTGCACCAGGCCCGAGCACTTGTCTCATG